TCCTCCTCCTTCCCCAAAGGCTATAAAATATGATAACACTTTGGAACTAGCTTTGTGTCAACAATGCATGTCCCATTTTGAGATGTCCTCGTTACTCTTCAGTAGTTGGCCATGCTATTTGTGGAACCCTGGGTCATATGGTCACACAGGAAAAACTAAGTTAGCTAAAAAGAAACTTGCCAATGCCCTCTGCTAGTAGAGCTCAGCAGACTTTTTTCTTTTGGTGCTGTGGATTGAACCCAGTGCCATGTGTGTGCCAGGCAAGTGTCCTACCACTGAGCTACATCGCCAACCAGACAGCAAGACTGTGCTGTCTGTGCTCCTTTCATAGGTTTGAAGCAAAAAATAATAATTTTAAGAAATCCATAGTAACTAAATCTTTATATTCTCATAATGAAAAGCAAATGGTCAATGACAGTCACAATTCCCTGATCATTTAGAAAAGTCAACCAATTAGATATAAAAGGAAGTACTGCTTGAAATTCCCCATACACACTTAAAAATGGCCTTTCACTATATATTAGTGACCACTGTCTTACCCTTCATTACCTGGTTTTGAGTTATTATTTCTTAAAAGGCTGCAAAGCTAAAGTCAAGTATGCCCTCATCTGGGTAAAATATTCCAGAATCCTTAATTCTCTTATTATTATTTTTCTTAATATCAGACAAAGTAGCATGCCTCTTTCCTTCTAGAGTATGGCTTGTCTGTTACTAAGTCTCTAAAAATAAGTTATTGCTTTAAAAGTAAGGATAAGAATGCAGTTAGCAATTTACCGGTAAGCAAAGATCGGAAGATAAACTGTCAGTGGGTATAAATCCAGAAAGGCAAACTAGAATAACATAACCAAAGAGGTAAGCAGGCTACAGCATATGCCTACTGCTATATAATATGGATTCTGCTGCTGAAATTATAAAACCTCATAAACTTGGTTCTAAGAAAATACCAATAACTACAATATTACGTTTATGGTTTGGGGAAAATAAAACTGATGTGCAATCTCCTAAAAAAGAATTTAGCATGATTTTATACAACCTGATTCCTAAAACAAATTAAAAAATTTAAAAATTAGGTTTTCTACCTCCAGTATGACTCACCCCACCAAATGAATCTAAAGCCAAGCTCTGGGTTGCAGAGTTAATTCACTAACAATGCAGCTGTCATTAAAATCACAGATTCCACTTTCATCCATTCCTATAAACATGCTCCTTATTTTTCCTTCTTAGGAGAAAAAAAATTGTTTTTTTCCTAAATCACCATTGAACTATTAAATAATTTATTTTAACACATTAAAAAAAAAATAAACCCGGCAGCAATCCTATATGCAAAGAATGGAAAGTAAAGTTACTGGCTCACCTTTTTAGACAAGCAGTATTTAGATTTATTATTAGTGAAGTTCAAAGGTTAAAACTAAGAAAATGCCAGACACTTTGAAGGAGGGGCTAGCTCAGCCAGGGATCACATGACAGTTGCTAATTGGAAAATGTTAAAAAGGAAAGGGGGAGGGGCAGGGTGTCTGCTTTCCCTTCTTTCTTTATTGTGAAACTTGATTTTCACTGAAAATAAAGGCTAAGATTTGTATAACTCTCAAAAGAGGCTTAAAATAAATAAATCACCCCAGGCTGACTGAGCACAGCTGACACCCTATCAAGACTTTCTTGCAAAACAGAAAAAGAAGGATGAATTTTGAAACAAAACTGTATTTCCACAGTGATTTTTAAGGAAGACAACCTAGTCCCCAAACTAGTGAAATGTTTGTTGCCATTACATTTACAAAATTAAAACGTTCTTCATTGTAGGGCAAGCCATTTTATTTCTTGATTTATCTAAATGTTTATTTATATTGAAAGAATGCACCTTTTCTTAAACTATTTTGTGTTGCCTTTTTTAAAGAGCACTGACAAACTTGTAGAAGGTAAGTCAAATTAATGTTAATTTAATATCTTAAATTATAAATCAGTTCATTACAAAGAGCAAGCAGCATTTCTTTAAAATCTTTTAAATGGTTTTACTCATCAAAAATGTCTTGGCATTACTTTTTTTTTTTTTTTTTTTTTTTACAAAGTACATATTTTCTGTCTCCACAAATATTATGTTAGATTTCTTAAAATATATTGTTCCTTATGTATATAATTTCTACATTTAATTCAAAATGATGAACAACATTTTTCATGATTAATGCTAATACTTTATTGACATCAGATAGGAAAGTAATAACCCATAGCTAGATTTAAAGTTGAATTAATGAAACCATTCTGATTGTGCACATTAGCTGCAATTACCTGCACCACTCATTCTGAGCCACTAGATGGTGTAAAAAAATAAATTAAAATGGCAAAATTTCATCATCACCATGAAATCTAAATAGAACTCTGAGTAGGATGCAACATTCTAGGCATATAATAATGCTAGCAATTTCTATACTAATTGTACTTAAAAAAACCTATCAGTATATAACATGGGCCCTACTTTGATCTAGAAACAAGTCCTTTTGAGCAATTTTTGCCCTCTTCCACTAAAAGCTTGAGTTCTTAATTTATAATATCAAAGCATTTAAAATTGTAGTTCTAGTTTATATATTAAATGAATTTATGGTGTTAACTTATAGCCCATATTTCCACTTTGATAAAACTAGAAGGCCACACTAATAAAATCTTATTAGGGATTTTCTAAACATATACTCAATTCCAAAACAACCAGACTATTAATAGAACAGACACCCATCAATGTTTCAGAATATGCTCAAATCTTAGCAGAGAGAGCCATGTGATCTTTTCACCATTACCAAGATTTAGCTGGTTGATTCTACTAGATCCATAGTTGGGTGACTATGGGTATTCAATCATTCAATTTATGGTGAGAATATGCTGCTGACAATGTCTTCTTTCTCAGCTCTTCTTTCAGAAACCAAAATGAGCCCCAGTTGAAATACCTACCTCTAGAAGACCACAGTGAAATGATGATGGTGGAATTTTAAGCCTTATAAATCTGATAGCACAAGGTTTTTTGATCAGCTCTTTCCCAAACGATAGCATTTAAAATTTTAGATGGAAATAAACACTTCCCATGAGCTGGACCACCCTTAACTACTTCTCTGATCAGGATTCACAAATAAAACTACACTCACTACAAAACAGATTTGGGAGAACAGGAACTAAGGACCCCAACATCCTGGAAGTATAAACACAACATCCCGGAAGTATAAAAATTAAAAGTATGATTATACTTTTAATTTCACATTAACAGAAAATGATTTTCTGAGGCAATGGTAGAAATAAAGCAAGCCTATGGGAACTCTGCTTGTTTATCCTAGGAGTTAGTACTCTGTCCAGGCTTTTGGGATAATGATAACATGATTCCTAAAGGTTTTAAGAGTAGATCTACACCGGCTTTATAAGTTTCTTATCTGCAAAAGGAATGTAATGGCCATATGGCATGCTCCCCTATAATCTGAAATTTCAAATGGAATGTAATCAACCTTTTAATTTTAGACACAATTGCAGCCAAATCAGTTAAAGAAATTGTGCGAGATAAGTAAATTCAGAAGAGTCTAAGAAAGTTTCTTGACAGGAACTAAAACTAATCTGTTTGATTTCTATATTAAATAACTGACTAAAAAAGCAGGACAATTAAATGCTCAATAACTGGCTTAATCAAGAGTTGTAATGTGCATGTGGCTTTCCATAGCTTCTAAGAACTGAAAGCATCTTTCTGGAAACACTGAGAGAGGTGACAAGCCTTAGCTTTGTGCACCTTAACTAGTGGTTCACACAACTGTCTGTATTTACTTACTACTAAATATTTCTTGCTCCCACAACCTACAAATGCTTATATCTTATTCTTTTTGTATTCCTGGTGCCTAGAAAGGATCCTAGTATATTATAGGTACTTTGTGATGGTTTCAAATTAAATGAAGTGGGGAGATAGGGACGGAAAGAAAGAGAACAGGAAAAAGCACAAGTTCATGTACTGGCTCTGGCACTTTCTCGACCAAAGTTCCCTTATCTGTAAAACCAACAACAGATGATCTAACAATCCATGATTGTATGTATGATGATTATAGGGACCAGTCATCTAGTATTAAAACTCAGTGTGGCCTGGTTTTCAAATTCCCTTTGCATCTAACATGTCACATTATCTCTCTGAGAAGTCCAAATATTTCTCTCATCAAGAAATTACATTAAACTCGTAGACTTATGATTTATTTAACATTTCCCAACTTATATTTAAATTGTTTCCACTTATCATTTGTTTCTAAAACAGCCTCACAAAGTAGACAGACAGAGATTTTTTTAAAGTCCCTATACTATAGAATGGGAAATTAAAAAATGAAAATGAAGAGAGCACACACCTCACACTGCTCAGAAATATAACCTTGATTTTACATCTGACAGATCCTGAATAATCCAGTTTAGAAGCAGAGACAAAGATTCTTGTACATTTAAAGATGAGTTCACAGCAATGTACTCTGCCACTATGTTTACAAATATAGTATGTTAAACTTAAGAAAAAAATTTACCTAAACCTGTCTGAATAGAAAAGCATTGCTTTTAAATTGTCGGAACACCCAATGTATTTACATAAAGATGAAAAACTTGTTCTATAAACACAGTGTTTCCAGTAGTGAATGGCAGACAAAATCAGAATAAGCACACAGAAGAATAAAAAGGAAGAGGAAAGAAAAACATAATAAATAACCTAATACCTTCCAATGTTAACTTTCACATAAGCACATTGTTCTGGAGAAGGCAGTGGGTGGATGGAAGCCAAAGGCTAAAGTGATAGGTAAACACACTGTTAAGTTGAATCCTGTTATCTGATTGTGTTTAAAATTTGATTATATTTCACTTGACAAAATAATTAATTATTGTGAACTCCCAATTGTTAACTAGGACCTAGAAGAATTCCAATTGGCATTTTTCCCTCATGTTGTAAATCCAAATGCATATAAATCGAGCTGCGTATTTCCCCTTTACAGTTGTCATTTGGGGTAACTTCTTACCTTGCTAAGAATGTAAATCACATCACCACGCTTAAATGACAACTCATCAGAAAGTGCTCCTGTACAGTCCCACAGACCCTGGTAAAAATTAGCGTAATCAGTGCTTTTATCACCTAGGAAAAAGAAAGTAAGAGAGTATAAACCAACAGAAATTAAAAGTCCACCCCGACCACCAAAACAGTCTTAAAAAATTCTGTCCTGAGTCAAAGAAACATTTTTATACACACACACACAAGAATCCTCCTTTTTATTACTATCATCTAATTAAGATCATTTTCAAAAAGTTCAGATTTTTAATGTCCTTTATCCTTTTTCTGCCTTTCATTTAAAACCTGTGGTGACAGCATGTTCTCACCAACACATCACCTACAAGTTGCTTCCTGCTTACTTTATATGATTAACCTAAGCCCATCCACAATGTGTTTGGAAGAGAGTGTGCCATACTTCATAATGAGCAATACCCATGATGATGGGACAAACACGTGGTGAAATAACCATGTCACAGCATTTGGGATATTTTAACAACCACAACAAAAGAGCTAATGCAATCAAAACTAGGGATCCAATTTTATTTTTTTTAAATCCTAAAATCTAAAGCTGCAAATAATATAAGCGTAATTACAGCTCTTTTCCTTGGGGATATTTGTACCCAAAGCCTCTCAAAGTTGTCTTAAAACATTTCAGCAACTTTGAAACTGCCAAAGCTAAAGCTGCATTTTTCACCAGATTTTTGTCAGCCCCAGTTTAAGACATTAGGCTCTGAATAAACATGCAACATACACTGGAGTTATCAGCTCATCCTTCTACTAGCATAAGCACAATGGATGTGATGTGCTCAAACTGCCATACAGACCATTAACTGATTGATTATTTAGCGCTCTCCGCTCTGTAATACCACAATAAACCGGGTAATAAATGCTTTGTCACTGATACAATGTGGGTCTCCTGAAACACAGCACAGAGTTAAATACACTGGATGCTTTTGTTACACTGAGAACTGCTTCCTGTTTTTAATTTCATGATAATTGAGTTTTGATGAGTTAATGCAAAAAGAATGCAAGTAATATCAATAAGATGTCCATGTATTCACTAGCCAGGCAGAACACATACGTGCTGACAACCGCCATCATTGGAATGTCGTCTTTGGATTCTGAGGGGACAACTGTGGAGACACATGCTGGATCTGGGTTGTCATCTTAGTTTTGTTCTATGGCTCTCAAACAGCAGGCTTCTGGCAATCCCTATACAACTAGTCACATTAGCATGCCATTAGGGTGCTCATCCTATTAGATGTGGTTTCTGATTTATACAAAGTGTTAACTTTATTTGAAAAATTTAAAATCGTTTACTATCTTACTAAAACCAAAAAAGAGGGTATGAATAACATGGAGTTGGAATATTTATAGGATGTCACTCTTCATTTATATAGGAAAGAAAATAAACAAGAACTAGAAAAATATACAACCTAGCAAAACCCCCCTAGTAAATGTCTTTCCCATTTTCTAAGAATTCCAAGCTAGAGAGGGACAATGGGAGGAGGGAGGGAAAGAGGAAGGCAGACGGAGAGAGACAGGCACCTTATTGGCTTTTCCACACTAGTATTTGAGCACTCATCACTGATACCAGCAGGGATGTATACAAGCCTGGGAATCCAACCAAGAACTAACAATGCTTGTGGCCACCCTTCATTACATTTCCCCCCCAAAGCATATATTAAGTAAATTCTATCAATGGACACTAGAGGGCACTCCAACTGGCCAGATCTCTCCAAACATTGTCCATTTCTTTCTTTTTAAGAAAAAAAAAAATCACTTAATAATAAAGTGACTGATTTCCTTTAAAAACCACTTATTTAGACAAATAGAGATTTAGAAGTTGAAACATTCTAGTCAGATTAAATCAACTGCTAAATGGGTCAAATGTTGCGCCCTTTGCAGTCCGTCAGTGTCAGTTGAAAAGTCAAGGAATTAGAGCAAAGAGGGGAATGACATCATTTCACATGCAAGGCCCTCCCCCACAGCAACTGGCTGGGAGGTAAAAGGATCTAAATAACTGGTTTCCCCACTCAAGGCTCCAGTGTGTTCCCCAGGCTGCTCAGTCTTAGGCTTGGTCCAAAAAGGTGGAAGAAACAAAACTTTGGCTAAAAGCTAGAGGAGAGGTTTTTGGCTTAGCTGTGACGTCCCAATGGGTCCCCCAGCTGTCCAGACTGCTCTTCCCTTTTTCGGATTCGCTCATGATAGTTTCTTCATTTAACAGATTTTCAAGAGGGGGTGGGGAAGAAAGAAAGAAAAGAAAAGTGTATGGTGATTTCTAACACATAATCCTTATCACTTTGGGGTCTCTCTTCCCCTCGATGCACTTGGCGAAACTCCCATTAACACTAATGGGAGTTACAGGAGCAGGCAAGGGGAAGAGAGACCCCCACCGTGTGCAAGATGCATCTCTCCCTAGATGTGCATCATGAGCATTTCATTAAACCTCACTGCTGTAAAGAGGCGATGGAGCCAGCGATTTGGCAATACCAGGGAAAAGATGCATTTTCAACTGTGCTTTCTATAATCTTGATGATGATGTTACCCAAAGACCAACCTCATTTCTGTGTCCCATATGTGAGCTCTGCTAAAGAATAATCTGTTTATGTCACACATACATACGATTTACTATCCTATCTGCTTCAGCATGCAATACGAATTATAAAGTAGAAATATCACAGCTAAGCGAGTATATGTTTTTTAGTCTCTTTCTCCTCAGGAAAATAATGTTCAAATTCTTGATATGAAATATGGACATAAAAATTATAAATTATCCGGTTTTGGAAAACAGCAACCTCCTCTAGTTTACTTTTTAAATTTTTGATTGTGCTTAAATATCCATGGACAAAAATTAAGTATAAATGTAGTACACAAGAAGCACAGTACTTCACAAAAGTTAACATCGTTCACCCTCCCATGTAAGATGTATTTTTATAGAATAGAACATAATGTGATAAACATACATTCTAAAATACAAGTTAATTCTGTTCAGTTGTTTTTACTACATGGATTAATTTTTTTATGCTACTCACATCATGATCTATATTGTCAAAATTACAAAGGAAAAAAAAATCACCTTATTATGTTTCTTATCCTGAGAGGCATGGATGATTAAAAGAGAAAGTAAGAAACAAAAAATAAATTAGCCAGCTTGTGAAGGATTTAAACAATGTACTTGCTTCTGCTTTTAAAAACATACATAAACAGACCATTGGGCAAAGATAACAGAACTGTTATGAATTGTTTGTATAAACTAAACATGTAAACATTGGAGATACTTCTGCACAGATGACAAGATTTTAAAAACATGATGACAATGGATGAAAAATAGCATAATAAGATAATGAAGAATCTCTCCCTGGTTGTTATAGGTTTGAAAACTATTTTAGAAATAATTTACAGCGTTTTTTAAAAAAAGAAGCAAATGGGATTGTGTGTGTGTGTGTGTGTGTGTGTTGTGTATATAAACCTGAACACGAAGGAACTTGAAAAAATATAAGATCATCTTTGTGTTTACTTATATATTTTACATTAGACCAGTCTTTTTTTTTTCCCCAAGAAAATCAGTCAATGTGAAAAATATATAACATTCTTGAGTAAGGTTAGAAGTTCATGTCATGTGATGCTCAGCAAGATAGTAATACCCTTGTCAACTCACTGCTCTGCATGGCAAACAAGCTTCTAGTCTTTGACAGCCTAGGGATGAGCAAAGGTCACTGCTATGCAAAAGCATTAAAACTGTTGCTTGAAAAGAATTTCATGTCACTAAAGATAAGAATTATTGCAGTACTTTATAGCTATGGCATGTAAAGCTAGTTCTACTTATTGCATTCCTTTGAGCAAAATGTAATTTTTTTTCTACCTTTGAAGGCAAAAAATGGGGAGATGGTTATTTTTAAAGGGTGTTTCTTTTTAATTTCTTGAAAATGGCATTTTTGAGAAATCCAATTGCTTTAAGCCAAAATATTTGTATCTGTGTAAAGGGTATCTATCTATATGTGTCCACCTTCTATTCCTGTATTGATATTTAAAAGAAAGAAAACTACATGCTTTTGGCAGAAGCCTCACGATCCATAACCCAAAACATATATACTTAAGTTACTATTGAATATAGTCCTCAAGGTTTCACTAAGCCTCTGTGTTTTATAGCTGTATTTCACAGGACGGGAGTGTTCACATCTAATGACTATGTCCTTGCTTCCTTTCTGAAAAAAGCAAACCAAAAGCTTTTGCAGCAACCTGCTCCTGCCTTCCTGTCCAGGTCCGGAATCAGGCCTCTGTTTCCTTTCCACATGTCACAGTAGGAAGGCCTCTGGAAAGCTACTTCCTGAACATACACTTCTTGTCCACCCTCCTCTGACAGCTTGAAAGAGTGATGTATGGACATATCAGAGAGGGGAAGGTGACCCCAGCTCCAGCTCTTTGCAGGACCGAGGGATGATAGGGCAGACCTTGCCCCAGCTGACATGTGGCTATGAAGAGGTGTAAAGTCCTGATAAGAAGGCAGTTCTTCTCTTCTTTCCATGTAAAATAATTGCTGGTTTATCAAAACTAACCTCATGCTTGCACTACAGATATGGTTTATCTCTTGCTATTTGGAAATAACAACAAGCAAGAAAAGTGGTTCGTATCATGTGATTCCGTATACAGCGTGTGCAGTTATTTTTCTAGCCTCAGTCATAATTAGTACCTGGGGTCATGTGCCAAGTGGAAATGGATAAGGGGAACATCCTTCCTAGTCTTCCAGGCCAACAGTGTCCTTTTCCAATTTTTAAGCTGCTGTCACTGGACTCTGGCATTTCTTACCCAATTCATTTGCTTTCTGTGCTAATCATATGCAATGAAGATATGCATGGCCAACATTTAAACAGGCTGCAGATCAATTAGCGGTCTTAAGTTTATCTGATTTTTATCAAAGAAGACAGAGCTGTGGGTCGATTGTCAGAGCCTGTGTCAAGTTGACCTTTTCAGAGATGTCTACATTGCCAGTCCCCTGGGCAACTTGTTGTCCCCTGTTAGTCTCTGAATGGCAGAAGTCTGTTCTGCTCAAGCACAAAGTATACACAGATGTCTATATTACATTCTTATAGGTTTGACAGCAACTGCATGTTGTATCTATAAACTGTCCTTTAGCAGTGACACTTCCTCAATGATGATAAGCTAATTTATGCAACTAAATCTCCTTTGTGCAGAAATGAAAGCTAATTGAGTCATTACAAAGTAATTCAGGAAGGAATACCTTGTATAAATTGGCTTACTTTATAAATCCTTCTCAAGTGGTTTTCATGCATCCTAAATGGGACTAAGCAGCTTATCAGCGGTAAGATATCCAGACCAAACAAGCCAACTTCTGGGAGCTGTGTAAATGTCTTTAGAGTAGTGAGAAAGTGGCTTAAAAAATAATAAAAAAATTTAAAAAAAAGCTTTGCCAGGAAGCTGCACAATCATTACCTGAGGTGTGATGCACACTTTCCTGACTCATCTTCCTTTGTTCTTCCATTTTCACAGAAGCGTTGTCCTCTTCCTCCTCTGTAAAAAAATCAACAGCACACTGAAGGGGTTCCTCTGGGATAACCACACAGAACTTACCCCACTGTTAGGGCAAAACGAAAGTTCATAACACGTAACTATTATTGTTAAAAGAAATGAAACCACTCAAGATTCATATTCCTCTGTCGATAATCTAACAAGGAATAAATAAACTGCAAGCTATTTCTCAATAGCAGATTTACTGAGGTTTCTCACATTGGCTTGACAAAATTTAAGATATATACTAATACACTGCACATTTTGTTTTAAATACTAATAGAAATTCATCTGGAGCCATCTTAAATCCAATAAAATAACATTCAGCATTATACTGACAAGCTACATTATACTGTGTGACAGAAATATTACTGATAAAATCATCGTTCCTAAAATATCAATATAGCAAGGAGAAAATGCATGATATACAATACATGTAGCCTGTAAGGCATCTATTGAGTAGCAGACACTTTCATATGTTTTCTGGCTTAATCTACACAGGACGATACCAGAAAGGTCCTCATCTTTCCAACTAATTCTCCCCAAATTATATCGAGCACCTACCATGTGTTATATACTATGGGAGATAAGATTTTGTAGATAAATAGTTTTTAAATCCTCCTTCTACAGATGAGTAAATTGAGATTCAAACAGTGATGTAACTTCTAAAGTTTGTTATTCAAACTTAAGGTCGGGATTCTAAAGTCCATGTTCTATATCCTACCTATAATCAGTGCTGTAGTCTATACTCTTTCCACATTGTTCATCACATTCCTTCCTTCCTTCCTTCCTTTTCTCTATCAATAATCTAACACTAAACAACAGAATAGAACTATTCAGAACCAAAGCATTACTTCAAACATATTCAAAATAGTCAATTCTTTTATATTAAAAATATATCTATTACATTACCACTTTCCCCATCTAAGGATTTACACATAACTTAGAAATACTTAGGACAGGACTTAGGAATAAATGGCATGCCAGAGAAAAACTGGATTCATAAAAAATCATAATTTCAAGAAAAATCCAAAACTTTAAGGAAAAATATGCAATATACATAATATAGTTAGCATGACTATTAAATAAACCAAATTTCTATAAACTGCCAATCAGTTTATAGAAATGAGTTTATAGAGATCAATTGTTCAATTTTCACTGAGTATTAACTAGCAGTAAAGAGGGGCATTTGCTGAGGAGACAAGGGTAATAAACTCCCGCCCTCAGGAAGCTGACCACGTCAAGGGGACAGAAGACAGGATATAAATGAAAGTGGGCTAAAGGAACCTAAACCTGACAAATAGTACACACCAGCACTGAAGAGGTGCAGAGGAGAAACCTCCAAACTGGGGAATGCCAAGAAGGCCTGTGGGGTAGAGAGAATTTAAATAAGGAGAGACGAAAAGAAGGCTATTTCCACACCCAGAGAAAGCCATGAACTTAAAAGAACAAGGCACAGTCACATTCAGTGACTAAATAATGTGGGAATGAAGGAGAGCACACAATGGGAGGAGATGCTACTGGTTTGGACTAGTTATTTAGGGTCCCTGAATACCTAGTTAAAAGACTTTGGACTACGATTTGGTGGGTAGTGAGAACCCTAGAAGGTTCTGGAGCAGACACGGGCCAGGACTGAAACTCTGCTTCAGAAATGATCATTTGAGCTCATTGTGTCAGCCTGGAGGAGTGGGGGCGGGGCGGGCGGGGGGGGGGGGCATCTAGATAAAGGGGAAGGAAGTCCTGAACTGCAGAGGCAGAAGAGAAAAAAATCAGAAGGAGATGGTTTTGAGAGGTAGAGGAACCAGAATCGATAAGCTTTGTGCCTTCCTGCTTGAGTGTGGAGGAGAGGCAGAAAATAGAACAACTGTGGATGACTTGGGCTCTGAGCTAAGCTGACTGAGTTTCGGGACATGTCATTCCTAAAAAGAGAAGAGCAAAGACAATCTGCTGTGGTGGGGGAACACAGCAGTTTGTTGGGATTTAACGTGCTGGTGGGCTTCCCACAGGGAATGTCCAAGGGCAACTGTAACGTGTGGTAGAGAAGTCAGGACTGCAGATGTATACTTAGGGGTCTCCTGGAGAGTTTAAGTGGTGATGAATCAAAAGCACATTTAAATCAAGCTTGAGAGTTACTGTGCTTACAAGACAAATAAAACTGTTTTGAGTTTATGTAATTCAATTCAAACAAAATAATAAAAGCTCCAATACAAGAAACAGATGGAAATATTTGGTGCTTTACCCATATTGTTGAACCTAACGGTGGCAATTTAATATGGTATTTTTCTCTTTAAGAACAGTTACCTCACTTATGCCAAATCTCAAACACTAGTTGTCACAAATGGTTTAATAGGCTACTTTCACGTAAACTTTAAAAGTAGAAGGGACATTTACAGTCGGTCCAACCTACTCACTTTACAGATAGTTTATTTTTTAAAAGGTGAAGTAGAAAGTTCTACTTACTTTTTACACTTTCTTTATCCCTAGCACTCACTCCCTTTCCAATCTGGTCACAAATCCAATAATAAGAATAAATATAAAAAGAGGTAAGGACATTTGCCCTTAGACAAAAGCTATAACTGCAACAATATAGTAAACAATATTCTCCAAATATCAGAAAAATTAATTATAACAATTAAAGAAGAAAGCTCTGTTGCTTGAAAAAGTTAGCAATGAATTTGTTTAAAATATCATTACAAATTTATTTTTACTAAAATTTAAGCAATTAGGGCTGGTGTTGTGGCTCAGGGGTAGGGCGCTTGCCTAGTATGTGTGAGGCACTGGGTTTGATTCTCAGTACTGCATATAAGTAAGTGAATAAAATAAAGCTCCATCAAATATAAATTTTTTTAAATTTAAGAAATTATAATGTATGCTAAAGATTGTATTATTGGTGTCAGAGAGCTCTGTCCCTAAGAAATATATTCCTAAATTATCAGCATGATATTAATAATATTTACTTAAGCATCAATATTCATTGTAAAATATCCAAGCTGAAGTTCATTTGAGATGTTCTTTAATAAGCAGCATTTTAGAGCATAAGGTGCAGACTAAAAACATTTCCTTTTTCCATGTCAAACCTAGTAATTATACCTTTTCAGTAAAAGTATTCTGCATTTCATACATCATTTTTTCTTAATAATATTCAAACAACTCATTTTATCTTGGGCTAACAATATAAGCAGCTTCCAGATAAAATACAATAAAATCAAATTTGGTGTGTATTTTTAAATCTTGGGGGGAAAACTCGTACTGAATCTCAACGAGAACCTGGCACAAAGGAGATGTTCACTAAATACTGAGTGAACCAATAAATTCAAAAGTCATGAAAATAAATCCTAACATATTCATTTATCAGCAGAGCAAAGCTCCTCAAGCCACTAAAAAAATATGTACGAACAAGTGACCAGAATTCTAGGCAATAATCACCTTCAAAATGTGTTAGAAATATATACTCTCACATGTTGTTTCATTTAGGTTTATTGTTAAGCACATTTTATTTTGGTGTGGAGACACGATGTCATTATATAATACTAATTAATACCTCAAATAGTCAATGTTCATGGGTTAATATATTCCATTCAACATTTTAATAACAGTAAACAAAAACAGCTCAGCTATGCAGTAAAATCCATCAAACCACACAGATGGTTATAAGGTTTTCATTATGTGGTTTCCATAGCAATCATATTGCAAATCTGGAAGCTTCTTGCAAATAAGCAGCTTGTATTTACATGCCTCTCAGCTGCAGCACAAAACTCTTCAACATGTGAAGTTATTATTCCAATCACACATTGTTAGGAGAATCATCAAGAGAATTTTTGTGATCAGACAAGATGAAAATAACAGTAAAGTGAACTAAGTGCAGAAAATAATTCAAACATGGTAATGTATATACTAATCTGTGAGTAGTAGAAATGCTCTGGTAGTAATCAAAAGGTTTTAACATTACACCATGTAGAAAATATAGAACTTCCAAGAGCAATCAGGCCCTATAGAATCCTAAAGGATAAATGCAACCCACTTCTCTTTTTAATAGATACTGGCCTTCTTTCTGGGTTTAGCAAAGGGAGGAAGCAAAACAGATAATTGAATTTTTCCAAATCTTTTTAGGAAAATCCATTTGAGAAAATGCTTACTGTGGGAAAAGTTAAGACCTTTTTCCCCCCTTTTAGATTAATCAATTTAATTTACAAATTGATCCAGTTCCATAACAGATGGATTATTACCCTAATAAGGATCACAGATCTGTCTAGCTATGCATTTTTTTTTTAACAAAATGGCTGTTTCTGGCTTACTACTGTTCTTATTTTTAGGATAAATGAACAAAAAGAAGTGTGATGAGTAAATGACATGTTTAGGTGACACTGAGTGAGAAAAGCTGAGGACACTGTTAATATTAAGGCAGGATATGTGATGAGCACTTCAAGAAGAAGAGGAGGCAACCTAAGAAAACCTTTACCTTTCTCACAAACATCTTTAGAAAACAGCTTTACTGAGTTCCAACGTATTGTAAAAGACATAGATACAATAAGAAATCATGCTGTAAAATGAAATTTGAGTTTAGATTACTACATGCCTGGCCTTCATCTGATTATGCAATTACATATTAAGAATGATTAATATTTATTACTTAAAATATCATATTATCTGCACTTATATTCATTATATAACAACATTCCCATAACAATTCTATGAGATAGTAATAGGCACTTTTATCCTCATCGTTTTATGAATTCAAGAAATGAAATCTATAGAGCTTGAATAACTTGCCCAGGTTCACAGACTCAGAGTATGTGAGCCAGCATTTAAACCTCAGGCCTGTTACTAAGCCCTAACTCTGAGCCAAAGTGTATTTTCCCTAAAATGTTCAATTTAAGGGCTGGGAATGTAGCTCAGTAGAAGAGCACTTGCCTGTTATACATGAGGCCCTGTGTTTGATTCCCTAGCATTGCAGAGAGAGAGAGAGAGAGAGAGAGAGAGAGAGAGAGAGAGAGGGAGGGAGGGAGGGAGAAGAGGGATGAGGTGTTATTTGTCGATTTGTGTAAAGCCTCCCAGCATTACTCCCTTCTTTTGCATTGTACCATCAGGACCAGCCCTTTGTGTCGTCGGTTCCCTTGTGCTGTCTGTTACATCAGCTCAGGAACATCTTGCTTGCAGCACCCAGAGCCTGAACCCCTACTGAAATGTGAAGGATAACCCATTGCTCCGAAACGTTGGTGAACTTCTTTCAGTTATTGGTTTGTAGAAAGACTCACCTTTACCATCTCCACTTTAGACATGTTTTTCTACCTATATATATAAAAATATATACATCTTTGCTTTATAGATGGATTATTTTCCAAAATTTTATATAAACAAAATCATGTTTCTGGAGTTGGAAAACGTTTTCACATAGGTGGGCATTGTATATGAAGCAATCTTTTTAGTGTTGCTCTAGAAACACAATTGCAGCTGAGGATAAAAAACAGGCTGCCTGCTCCTTCCTGTTCTAGCTCTTTCTCCACCTCTAGCTCAGTACATACTCAACAGCCCCAACACCAGCACATAGTACTGAATATTTTGTAAAGGTTTCAAATACAACTCATGATTCAAAAAGAATTATTTCTAGGCCAGCCAGTTTCGTTTCCTTTTTATTTAATTTCAATAAGAAAAACATGTCTAAAGTGGAGATGGTAAAGGTCTTTCACATTTCAACAGGGGTTCAGGCTCTGGGTGCTGCAAGTAAGATGTTCCTGAGCGGATGTAACAGACAGAACAAGGGAACTGAAGACACAAAGGGCTGGTCCTGATGGTACAATGCAAAAGAAGGGAGCAATGCTGGGAGGCTTTACACAAATGGACAAATAACACCTCATGCCTCTTCTCTTCCAAAACCTATGGTGAGCTACAAAGGCTGGAGGGAGGGTAAGGAAAGTTAAAGAACAAAGTCAAGGGGATATAGGCAAGAAAGTCAAGATTATAAAAATGAGGGAGAGTGATCCTCAAGGGCCTATAAATCCAGAACTATCGGTAACATAAATATGACACTTCTAAAGATTCTTCTATTAAATGTATTACATACATTTTAAAGTAATAAGATACAATCTTTATGTAAGCATGTGCCTAAGTTTTAGCCTTACATACACTTTAACATGTACAGAAGGATAAAGATAACTAAAACAGCATAGCTAGAGTCATGTTATTGCTCCTGGAAATTGAGCAAATTGGGGTCATTGTTATAGTTCTGGTGACTTGTGTAACTCTGACTTCTACTTCTCCGTCATGTCTCTGCAGTACTTCATAGCAGGAAGAAAAATGTCTAGCTGATAGCACTTTGAACAAGGATTTGGGGAGGATAATGAGATAGCCAGATTTATAGGGGGATGGGGGAACACACAATTAGTGTATAGTGTCAAGTTTATTACCTTAACAGCAAGTTATTTTACAACAACTCATGAATGCAGCAACCACAAAGGCCAACATAATATAAAAAGCAACAAAATAAGAAAAGTTGTTCAATCATACAATCTTATTTTTAATTTAGACATTCTATTCTTATAAGGTTTAATATGAAAAGGTTATCATTGCACTTCAAATGAAAAAGGAAATGCCATGAGATCATAGTACATTTCTGTATTATATTATTAAAATTAATAATTTAAACATGAATATAAAAATGTGAAAATAGCAATTTTTCACATAGACATTCTATGTGTTAACATCACAGTTGGGATGTTGAGGAAAAAATTCAAAACTCAAGCAAAGACCTCACTTGACAGAATCAGGAAAAAAAAAACTGTGAAGGAAAAGAAACCTTAGATATCCTGTTCCATTTCCTCATTTCATAACAGGGGAAGTGAGCTGAGGATGCGACCGTCTGGCTCAAGGTCACACAGCCTGCACCCCGCCCCACCTTCCGTGCAACGTGCACTGTGGACACTTTTTAAGTATGGCCTGTGCCTGGAGGAGCACTTCTGACCACGTACAGGCAATTAAGGCAGATGATGAAAGCAGATGGGTTAAAAATTGAGTTTCGGGAGGCTGGATTCTATGGGTCAGAAATGACTGTGGGGGCTGGGGTTGTGGCTCAGTGGTAGAACATTTCTCTAATATGTGTGAGACACTGGGTTCAATTCTCAGCACTACATAAAAAATAAACAGAAATAAAGTTTAAAAAAAGAGAAGTGACTGTGCATCAACGATCCTACTCCTGAAGAGTTTGACAGGAAAACTATAAAACGTGGCTCCTTGTCTCCTTGTACTATCCCCTGGGGATAAAAAATCCTCTTGCAGTCCTAATATATTCCAAATTCTTAGGCTTTCAGTTAAAATACATAATAAATTCTACAATGCTAAAAATTTTTTAACCAAGCAAAGTCTGAATTATTTTTCAGTTATAGAAACTTCTATTTGGCTCTATATTTCTGGTTCCTTTTTTTCATATAATCAATCTTTTTTGCTATTATTCTTATTACAAAAGCAATATCTACTCATTGCTGAAAAGCCAAAAAAAAAAAATAGAGATAAGTAAAACAGTTTGGGGCCTATTCATAACCACCATTAACACCTCCTTCTAGGCCACCTTTATATAATTACTAGTTTTTCTTTCTTTGGTTTGATTGTTTTGTTTTCTTTTGTTTTTATTTATTTATTGTTTTTGTTTGTTTGTTCTGGGGATTGAACCCAGGGTCTCCCAGCCCTTTTTTAAAAACTCGTTAAGTTGCCAAGGCTGGCCATGAACTTGTGATCCCATTGCCTCACCCTCCCAAGTAACTGGGATTACAGGCACATGCCACCTCACCCAGATGGTTTTTCTTGATTCTTATTTTTAATACAAATATCCCAAATGTGCATGTATTTCATTATTCCTATACACTTCTTATCCCAAATGTATGTGTGTTTCATTGTAAACCATTCTGAATTTCTTTTTAGAAAGTAAAAGTATTTCATCAACTTAAGATTTTTTTTGATTTCTGTTTTTGAATGTCATTAGATAAAAAATAATAATAATGAGCTTGGTGTGAAGATCATTTAATTGTAATGTGGCCATTTCATAAGGATCTTCAGCTGCCTCCTGGAACCTCCAGAGAAAAGCAGATACACGGGTGCAGAGCTCATTTGCTGCCAGATTTGTCTGTTTCCTCCGATCACCTATGCAAATATATTCTTCCTCATCAAGTGCAGTACACCTTAACCTCATTTTCAAGAACCCAAAGAAGAAGAAGCAGAGTACTATATGAGGAACTGACACCATGAGACTTATTGGTTCCATATCCCTTCTATCAGCAGTGATTTCCAAGACCCTTTCAGGGGGCAGGGGTTTGTGAGGTCAAAATATTTTCATAATGCTACTAAGACATAAATTATGTGCCTTTTTCACTGTGTTAACATTTGCACTGATGTTGAGAACCAATGATGGGTAAAACTGCTGACACCTTAGCATAAATCAGCATAGTGGCACTAAACTGTCGTTGCATCCTTCACTGTCTTACACCAGCATTTAAGAGAGAGAGGAGGAGAGGGGGAGAGAGACAGACAGACTAGCTTCACTAAAGAATGTCCTTGATGAAGAGAGGTAAAAATTATTTCTACCTAATACCAGACTTTATTTAGTACATGCCTTTTAAATATTCTGTGTGACAAAATCAGGATGCATAAAGCACTTCTGTTGTACCACCAGATGTGCAAGAGCTGGACAAGCTGTTTTTATTTTTGTTTTCATGGAATGCTGTTTTTACTCAAATGACTGACAAACTACAGTTATCCAGATTTGGGAATCTGCAAACATTTTCTCAAAAATAAAGTGAGCTTATTATTTCAAGGAAAACAACTCACAATTTTTATTGTCAATAAAACAAATGTGATTTTTAAAAAATTGTGTCTACTATCACGAATACCTAAAAAGAACAAATAAAATAAGTTGTGTCAATATTTGGAGGTTCTGAATAATGTAGTAAAATATTGATTATTTAACTGACTGACACATGACATTACAAAATCATTCATGGGTAAAGGATCCACTTCAGAGCACTAGGCAGATCTACAAACTCAAATGTAAAAAATATCAAAAGTTCACTGACACCGTTTCATTTCCACCTTGCAACTAACCTTTAATTACTATTTGTGGGGTCTGGGAACAGTATCAAAGAAAAATATCTACAATTACCTGCAAGGACTATTAACATACCTTCCTTCTGCTACCACACAGTTATCTGTATAAGGGTGGATTTTCATTACATGTTGATTATACTTCAACTAAAACAACACATTTGAATGTGGAAGCAGATATAAGAGTCTGAATGTCTTCTGTTAAGACACACATGCAGGGTTGGGTTATTGTTCAGTGGTAAGGCACTTGCCTAGCACATGTGAGTCACTGGGTTCAATCCTCAGTACCACATAAAAATAAATAAAATAAAGGTATTGTGTCTATCTACAACTAAAAATATTTTTTAAAAAGACACACATTGAAGAGAGCTGCCAAAATGCAATAACATACTCCCCTCTATTTTCTTGGAAAATAGTTATTTTCTCAAAAATAAGTACATGTATAATAGCTTTATTAATGTGATTTTAAAATTCACTAATAAACACACATTTTTAAAGTTCTCAGTTTTAATTTCTAATACAGTAAATTTTGAGAGGCAAAACCCACATAAACAAAAGCTTTATTATCAAGATTATAAAGGGATCCAGAGACCAAAAAGTTTGAGAATGACTGTCCTGTATTTAAGGATAATTTTAGTTAAATAACTAAACAGTGTTCATCTACACTATGGGGGAGGGGGAGTGGACATCTTGCTATCCAGATAATTATTTTACATTCCCAAAGCACTCATTATCAGGATTGAATCACACTGCACTGTTGACTCACACTGAGCTGTTGACCAAAAATCCCTGTGTTTTTCCCATTTACCACAAAGCCAAGTCTCTTCTTTCATATAGTTGTGCAACTAGACTTCTGGAATAAGTGGGACACCCTATCATATTTCATCTTGTTGGATTTGACCCATGATTTCATTCTGTTGAGACTAGGCCTCTTTATTTTCCTCCAAGGCAATGCTGAATATGTTGGACACTGATACTGAGAACAAAGCTCTAAGACATTCACAAACTCAATTAATTAGCACCCTTAGAGTACAGCTGTATAGTTAGTGATCCCAAGCTCACTATATCTACATAGATTTTATGAGAATCCTGCCATGAGACTGGATGAAGTCCCGTTAATGCCTGCATTTCCAAAAAAAAATGATTTCTAGTAATCTTAGTAATCATTGTTTCATCTTCTGATGGTATAAAG